CTCATCCTTTCTTATGCTCAGGCTCCAAAAAATGCCTGCTCCAGTATTTTTATATGGCCAGACACAAATACATGGGCTGCGAAGTTGCTCCTCCATGACCAATAACTGGGATTCCTTGGCCAGTGGAAACTTTGGCCTTTCCACCTCCAAAAGAACTTGTTCATGGTTGGTCCTAAGGAACACTGGCCTCACAGCCAAGAGAACAAAGCCAGACACAGCACTCACTTTTCTACTTTTTATATAAAATAGACGTTTACATACATTTTGTTTTGCAAAGTCTTTGAGCATAACTCCTTTATGTGAAATCTAGCCATAAAATCACGGTGAAAAAAGGAAAGACTGAAAATTCTTGTATCACTGACATACATCCGGCTGCTGCTGTGTGAATTTAGTTTAAAAAGATTTCTATTCCATGGGCTGTTTTCTTGTTTTGTTGGGTTATTTTAAAGGTATGCGCGACTGATTGAAAAAAACATACAGAAATAAGTGCCATGTGAACAACAGGCAACGCGAACAACTCCTGCATGAGAGAAACACGCAGCGTGACATCCACTTCAGGCAGAGATTTCGACAGTAATAGAGTTGTAGAAGCCATAACTTTTACAGAGGATACCACTGGGGGTATTTTCCAGCAGAAACAGTTTTTCAGCAAGTCAGTACAAACATGGCAATGAAGTTTCGCACAAAGGCATCGAGATCACCTGAAGCAACTTTGCCACATTGAATCACTAGTAAATGCCAAGCGCTTTTTTTTTTATTTCTTTTTCTTTCTTTTTTTTTCTTTTTTTGCTGCTGGGTTTAAATGTACGTGAAAGCAAAATGGTGCATTTAGAAACTGCTGCAAGAGACTGATGGCTGGGAAAGAAATTAACCCTCCAAGGGCTAATTTCTTCCAAAGATTGTGCATAATTGCGTATATAGAAAGATGGAAATTGAGCACTTGGTCAACTTAATCACATACAGATTGAGGAGATTTAAGCATATATCGTTACACTGAGCTGGAGGACAAGTGGGGCAAAAGATCATACAAGTATATTCTAAATTGCCTAATTACTAAAATGAGAATGACAATTATCTTCTTTCACCAAATGTTGTACACCGTGTCTGGCCTGCTTTCTGTAACTGTTGAGCTTTCATAGCTTTGGCATAATCCTAGGGGTGTCCAGCCTCCCCTGCAAGTTAGGCTCTTAATTCTGGGTTTTTTTTTACTTAAGACTTCTTCCACCCATGTACATGCATGCACACACCCCCGTTCTTGTTGAGATCTTCAAAATGAAGGCTGTTTCCACTGCTGTATTCATTACTATTTGGCCAAAATGAGTTGCCTGCACATTTATAGGAAAATCTAAGTCCAAGGAGTCTATAAGAGACAGAAAATGCCCCCACCGCATCATTTATCCCAGGGGTGGAAAAGGAATAGAAACAAAGTATGCTGGACTTTAAATAAGCAATAAAATAAAACAAAATCCGTCAGCTGGAAATATTATTCATGGGGAAAGGAAAAAGCAACACAATTATTACGGTTTTCATTTAGGATTAAAATGCACAGTGAGTACAGAGGAGTCCTGTCTAAGCAGCTTTACATTAATTCTCCACTTTCATACCGGTGAGCACTGAGGTTTAGCCAATGCAACCTGCAGAGAGAGTGAACTCTCCCCCACCAGGTAGAGCTTCAGCCACTTATTAATTTGTAATCTCTGCTAACCATGCTGAGTGCTGGAGTTGGCAGAAAACAATGTATTTATAACTCATTATTTTAAAAGCTGTGCAATGCTAGGGGAAGAGACATTGCCTATGATTAATTAAGATAATATCCAGTTATCACAAGGTAAGTCACTCAATTTATCTTCCACAATAGCATGCTATTTTGGTGGAGGTAACCCATTTCATACCATATTCCATTCTTCTTCACCTGCGATAAACCTTTAACACAATTAATGTCCTGAACAAACACAGCATTTCAGCATGAATGCCAATGAGACAGGGAGTCAGCTCAGAACTTCACAAACGTTTAACTGCTTTGGTAGCTCATGGTCTGAGTCGCTCTCCAAATACGCTTCCAGTTTGTAGGCTGTCATCCTGCATAGATGGGGTATAAAGTGCTGTTTCAGGAAAGCGGGGTTCATCACTGAGCCCTCTTCTCTCCATAACTACCATAAACCAAGTCCAAAATGCGGAGAGTTGGCCTTTGTGCATATGAACATAATCAGGTTCAACTGGGATTGAACTCCATGGACATGTTACCTGCCTAATTCAGGTGAGCAGATGAACATACGTCATGCCTTCCAACCAAACCACCTCCCTCACTGGGAAGATAGTCTCTCTATCTATCTATAGTCTATCTATCTTTCCATGTTATTCTGCAAGTAAGACAGTATTGAAAAAACAGTAATCCTTCTCCAGGGTCTGGGAGGGAGGCACCCAAAACTATATTACACTTTTACACATGCACCAGTTTTAGGAGGTCTAGGTGGTTCTTCTAGGACAAGAATGAAACAATCATTTCTATCAGGTCTCTCAGGGAAAACAAACTAAGATTTAAACCAAAGTTAAAAACACAAAACCAAGTCTTCTTCCTCACAAAGCATTGTTATAAAAAATACAACTTCTTCTATATTTGAAAAAATACGTTTCATCGGCCACGATTTAAAGCCACACTGCTGTGGGGCTTGTAGAATATAGAGTATTTATTCAATATATCTTTATGAAGCAAAGGTTATAGCCGATACACGTTTTAAATGAGAGGCATCTCCTCCCGCCCCTATCCCCATGTTTTACGTAGCTGTCACAGCACTCTGCAGATGCCTCCTCTGCTGGGGCCTTTGCATGGCACCGCTGTCCCAAGGTGCACCTAACACCACTCTGCCAGCCCTCAGGCTTGATGCCATGCAGTTGTACTGCAGGCAGCCAGACAGCCTAGGCACATGGAGTTTTGGTGAAGGCAGGCTCACCTTGGGGAGAGGCAGAAAGCTTTAAGGTGTAGGTACCTCTGAATACCCCAGTATTGCACCATCTACAACCCTGCAGTGCATGGTGGGGAACTGACTGTTCTCAGAGGCCTTTTAAGCTTTGGTTTCCCCATTCCAATGTATTCTGCTGGCATGACCCCATCTCTCCGCAGCCATCCTGGCAGCAGCAGGGCTATGCAAAGCTACTCCACGCACGGCATCCAACAGGTCCCCAGTGCTGCACCTGCACTGGGGACCTGCAGAAATGTCAGGTCAGCAAGTCTGTGGCCAGAAAAGTCATGTGAAACGACAAGGGTTGCTGACCAAGACCCAGGACCCCAAACTTGCCCTTGGCTCCAGAAAAAAAAGTCGTGTGTGTGGCCTGGGGGGAGAAGGGAAAATTCACCAGCAAAAGACTTGCTTATTTTGGTCCCAGATACTCTTCAAAGGGAGAGAGCCCAGAAACATGTGTCACCACCTTTCCCCCACCAGTGCTCTCTCCCTCTCGCCTCTGCCTAGCTGTAGGTACTGGCTGGCCAGTGTGGATCTGTACCTCCCAAGTCCAGCCTCATCTCAGTGGGCATGCAGCCCTGACAGGGCAGACGTCTCTCCAGATGCAGGTGGAATCATGTTAATAATTTGCCAATAATTTGACCCTCAGTACTGGCTAGACACAGAGCTTTCTAAATGAAGCCACTGGAGCCACCAGCACATGGCTGTCCCATCACACTGAGTGAATCTGGAGCTTGCAGAGGTGCCATGGCCAGCACCAACTAAAGCTAGGTGCCACATGGGTCAGTGGCACACAGGCTTTTCCTGACGGGTGTGTATTAAGGAATCACATATCTAATCTGAACTATCCTTTACTAATAGTGGCAAACCCTGGCATGTTCTTTCATAGGAACTGGCCACAAACCCTGGTGGAAGCAGCAGAAGCGCTGTTATTGCAGTGACAGTATGGTCAATGTGCTCTGCAGCCATTTGCTTTAGAAACATCATTAGAGGGAGTTATTTAAGCACACCTTGATGGCTGCATTTTTCCAGCTTCAGATAATGCGAGTCACAACACCCAGCCATGTGGCCAGCTGTGAAGGATACTGCCCAATTCGTATAAAAAGAGAAAATATATTAATTATTTGATTATTATAAGTTAAATAAATAAAGCTCAAAAATAAAAGCCCCAATTCTGAAGATATTTTGTTCTCCCACTTCAGTATTCAAAAATATAGCTTTATGACCGATTGCCTATAGGTTATTTTCAGTATATTTCGGGGGAAGGGTGAGAACGCTTTGACACAGTATTTTGTCAGTGTTATCACCATGATAAATGGGCTTCATCCCTGCAAACCCATAAAGAAAGTCTCCTTAGTACCTTTCCAGGCCTAGGAAATCTTCCCTCATTCTCTGTGGCTTTACTTTACCTCCTACATGGATCAGATCAGTTGGGGTTTTTTACTGGGAACTGGACAGGAGGACAAGTAATCCTAGAGATTACTATTGACTTTGGATGCTTCTAATTTCTTTTTCAGAGTAATAATTATTTGGCCTGGAGGGAGAGGGGAAAGGGTAAAGCCATATATTTGACAACATTGTCAAATCTGAATTAGTACAACATGACTATCTTGTGAGTAACACATTCAGGTGAGGTTTTCCCTCAAAGGTTCATTTGTCCTACTTGTAGAATCATCCTTCTAGGGTGGTATTTAAATACTGTTTTCCCTTCCTTTAGAATAATTTTCAAGTCACATTTAGAGCTGTACAAGTGGCCACCACTTCCTCAGCATTAACCCCTTGAAACTTTTTTATGTGACCATTATGACCATTTTTCCCGGCTCAAAAGGACCAGGCAGCACTTGCAATGAAGCCCGTTAGTGGTGCTTTATGTGAAAAATATGAGCCGATGTTGAGTAATAAGAGGTGCTACTTCACCCCTGCTGCAATGGATGAGTGCTTTGTCTCCATGGTTTCCCCAGTGACAACCAAGATATTGAAGGTACACATCCCACCCAGACTCCCAGTGTGCTTAAAACGGGTCCAGCCTAAACAAAAATCTTGATTAAAGGAAGGTTTTCATTCATTCTCCAGCATGTCCCACAGGAGCCAAATGTCTCCTGTAACTTTGGTCAAACATAAGCATGCATTCATAATCTGCCTTCCGTAAGTCTGAGTCCTATCAAAGTTCCTTCAGCATCACTTCAAGAATAGGCTTCCACCATAGTCTTCTCCAAGGGACATGAGTTTCATTCCACTGATGACTGAATGCTATGTTTGGTCTTTCTCCTGGATTTCCTGAAACCGTTTCTCCAAGCGATCCAGTTTGGCCAGGTTCTCCTTCAGCAACTTGCTGTTTGGAACGAGTTGTAAGGCTTTCTCATAGTAGCCACGGGCAGTGATGTAGCTCCCCTACAAAGAAGATGAGTGGCAGATTTCATTTGCATTCCCTGACATGCAAAGTTAACTCCTTGGGAATGGTGAAGACCGTAATACACAGGAAAAAGAATGTATAAAACCTGATATTGTTAGGTAAAAGGAATACTTCTTCATTATGAAATGGATCACAGAGTGCCATTAGCCTAAATTTGGTCGAACACACAGTAGATTTACATTTGTCTATTATATTGTACCAAAAGAGTTAATTTCACTCAGCAACAGGATAGCTTGAGGATATCATACAGTGTGACTCCTTAAGACCCAAATCATAATGATATGCTAAAATATTCAAAAAGATAAGCAGTCATGGGGCTGGCTGTCTATTTCCATAATTTCATGCCAGTATTCTGCATTAGACATCTTTATTAAGTTAATTCCATAGAGAGGAATCTTAAAAGTCAACTCACGGTGACTTTTCTCTAAGGTAGGTAAACAACTGAAGCAGGAAAGCTTTAGAGATGGGCACGTTGTTCCTTGCAGCCTGCCCTCTTAAAATATGAGATTTACATTACAAGATAGATATTCCAAAGCAATCTGGTTGGGAAGTTCTAGTTGGGGTGAGCAGACTTTCCTCCCTTTTTGGGTAAAATATGTCAGGGACACTCACTGTTCACACACATGCAGTTCTTGGCAGCCTGAAACAAATTTGGCTTTCTGTCCTGAGTAGTAGTCTCTGCACTCTCATCTTAAGGAAAAGCAAAACTGTCATACCTTGATGTGCTCAATGCCTCCCATATTCATCCAGGCCTGTGCTTGGTCCGGGTTGAGCTCCACAGCCTGTTTATAGCTCTATATAAATATGAAACATTTTTAGGTTAAGAGTCTGAATCTCCAAACAAAACCAGTGCTGGAGGGGAAAGAGAAAGTTTCCTCTCCTGAATCCATTTAAAATATAATTTCAAATTCTTCTCACATACAATGCACAAGCTGATTTTCAGCTTCCTCACAGCAGAGGCAACATAATACACTGCTTCACTGCTGAGCTCATCTTGAAGGTTTTCCCTGCCCACAGTACCATATGAGGAGCCACGCCAACCCCTGTGACTCTCTCTCTGCACCCTGCACCACTGGGGTCTCCTGCACATCAGGGTCATTTCCTTGGGCAGGTGCCTGCCACCCACAAGCCATGTGTGGGTTGTGATGCTCCTCATCTGCAAGGCTTTGGAGCTGGCAGCAGACTATGGTACAGTCACTTGTGCAGAGGTTTCACAAGGACCTGAGGGCAATGCTACCCCTCTCCTCTGGCTCCACCACTGTGCATGGGAGAAGGAGAAGCAAGGACCTCCTGGAATCTGTCAAACAACATCATTTCTATGGTGTCACAAAAGGAAAGAATTCAAATCAGAATTAGACATCTTGAGGGGTATTGAGAGTATTCAGAACTGTCCCACTAATATTCTGTACTATTATTTAATGCTAACATAATTTCTGAGCTCTCAAGCCTACTGCTCCAAAGCATAAGCCAGCCTCTTAGCTATCAGGTAATAAGGTGAGGTATAACAACATGGTGGGTTCTCACAATTCCCCATGCTTCCAGCTGAGCCACCTGGGGTTGGCCATCACTGGGAAGGGGGCTGGGGCTGGATGGACCAAGGGTCTGGTCAATAAGAAAAGGCCTAGGCTCCTCCATAATCCTACCATGATTCTGTACTAAACCTCTAAGAGCAGGGAGCTGTCTTTCCACACAGGAATAAGGAAAAATTTGCAGCCAGGTCTGGCAAAATGAGTTGCCCCATAGCTTTACCTGTACCACTGCTGAACTGCTGAGCTCCCAAGAACAACAGCCAGGGTGCACGCTCCAGGGAGCATTAGATGCAGTGACCTAACTCTTATCTTTAAACCTACAAAACTATCCACAGGGCTTAGAGCAGTCGTACCTCAAAAGCCTTGTCAAGGAGATTCTGTTCTCTTAGCTGGTTTCCTTTAGTGAAAAAGAGCTCTGATATGACTTTTGGATCCTTTGGTTTTAGCTGAAGAGCTTTTTCTATAGCTTCAAGTGCCTGTGAAAATGCAAGAGGATGTTGTGTTACTGTATTCTGTGCATTCACCACTAGGCCTCCCAGCAGAAAAGTTACCTTCCTCCTTTCCCTTGTTTGCCCCACACCATTAACACACATGGAAATGATATTTTATATGCTTGTGGCTTAGTGGCAGTGGGGCTGACAGCAGCGGGAGCAGTAAGTAATAAAAACCCCACATTGCTTCAGTCCCAGTATCTAGATAAAAAGGAGGGTTTAGTAAAAAAATTAACCCACTGGCTGTGCACTAAGGCATGTGACATGTCTCTGGACAAATGGAGTGTAAAATTCAACCTGAGCTCTGTGTGTGAACCCTCAGGACAACGGCACTTTGGAGCCCTGGTACCTTAGTATAGTGCTCCTGCTTGCTGTAGATGGCCGAGAGAAGGCGGTAGCACTCCAGACACTTCACATCCTCATTGAGTATATGGTTTGTCATCTTTTCAGCTTCCTTCGTCCGCCCCATCATTGCTAAAACCTGAGCCTACGGAGCCACATTATAAAGGGTTATGGCATTAAAAAGCTCAGCCCTCCTTAATAGATGATGCTGCACCCAGTGGCTGGTGCTCCACTTCCGTGGTCTCGCCCCACACTCACCAGTGCCAGTCGGATCTCTTTGTTTGAAGGCTGCAGTGATCCTGCTTCTCTGTAAACCTGCAACGCTTCTTCATACCGCCCCGTGTTGTAATACAGAGCCCCCAGCGGGGACAGGATTTCAGCCTTCCGGGATACCTTCAGTGCCCTGGAATTTGGGAAAAAGAGATGCTCTGGGTGGTGTGGGGACCAAAGCAGAAGAGCGAGGTGTGGCTTGTCCTGAGATAGAACAGCTAAGCTCCACACCCTGCTCATCCCACCCTGAGAAGCATAAGCTTAAGGTCTCTTGGAGGGGTAGGCATGCCCACAGCAGCAATCTCTCTGGCTACCTGAAAAGGACAGAGGACCACCTCCAAAGTGCATCAGGAGTGAGAATGGCTGATGGTGGCAGAAACTGGGAAATGTGAACACAAATCAGGGTGCCAAAAAGGAGGGCCCCTCCCACCCAAAAAACAATCCACCCCGCTGCATACTAGGAGTCAGAGCCTGCCTACTGGCACATTTCTGGGATGGGTTAGAGCTCCTGATGGTGTCAAAGTTTTAGTGGTGATCTGTGCAGCAGTTATAGCTGTTACTGGTGCAGCACACACAGACCAGCTTCAAGAAGGGTGGGAGTCCTTCTAACAACCTGTTCATGCCATCAAGGAACCTCCGACTTCATCTTAAGAGCATCCCCCAGCCAAAAGCAGCAGTGTGTCCATCCCATGGATTGGGAATGGTACAGAGAAGTCAACACTTCCCGAGTCTGTGCTGATTCTCCAAGCATTCCTCAAAACTAGCCAAATAACCAAAGGTAAATCTGGAGATTTACCTGGAGGTTTTTATCTGGATGGAGAAAGAAACATGCGCTGACAGATTCGATTCATCAGAGGGTCTTTGGCAGAGACAAGCCTTACAGGGGGAAGAGAGAAACCGTTCCAAATTCTTACCTCTTATACCACACTTCAGCCTCTTTGTTCTGCCCCAGGGAGCGGTGAAGCCTGCCCAGGTTGACCATGGCTACGTGGTGAGTGGGGCTCAGGTGGATGGCCTGCTTGTAGTGGGACACAGCTCGCTCAGGAGCCCCTGGAGAGAAGCACAGCAATTAAACTGGTGCATTAAAAAAAGCCTGTCACAAATTCAGCAGACAGTGATTCTGTGGGTTCTTCTTTCATCTACTGCTCTGTGCATGGGAACCATTTTGAGAGAGAAATACTGCCTCAGCCTTTTGCAATTCAGCTGTTCAGACTAATAGGCTCCAATATTCAGAGACGACCCCGAGAAGTAGATTTTCATGGGATGGACTGTTGCAAGTCAAGTCAATTGTTGCAGCAATCATGGGAGATACACCCACTGTGCTAAGCACAGATCCCACCCCAGAGAGGGGGCTGCAGCACATGTCCCATCTCCTGGTAGACCACGCTTCCACCCTGGCCCACTGGAGAGAAAGGCAACACAGACATGGAGAATAAGCCACCCAGTATACCCCACAAGCTCACCAGAACTGCAAATAGTTTCAGGTCTTCCCAAACAGAGCTGATTCTTTCCACCTCTGTTGGCTGACCCTGCTCAGTCTCTGTGCATTGCTCACCTGGACTGGGAGTAGCTGCCAGTGACAAGCTAATTCCTACCTGGGGACAATGAATCCCAGACCAGAGGTGTCCAGGTGCCCATTTTGGATCATGTAGGCACCAACTCCATGTTGCAGAGGAGCCATTGGGTGGCACTGCTTCCCTGTGTGACAGTGTGTACTGGTGCAAGGTCCCGCAGTCCATGACATCACCGAGCACCAGCACAAAATACAGCACGGTGCAAAAGGCAAGGCACCAGACCACGAGCCCCAAAGCCTAAAGTTGTATTTCTAACACTATATTTTTATTTAGCTAAGTAATGGCTTTCCTTGAAAAGGATCTTGAAGCGCTTCCTTCAGGCAGGGCCTGGTGGCTACCTACTAAATAAATTAATGGAGCACAGTATAAAGTTCCAGCATTCCATCAGCAGTGTGACTGTCGTATTTTTAACCCCTGTGCTCGTTAAATTGGTTTGCACACTGTAGACCAGATAATCTCCTGATGAAAACCGATACTTGCAGAGCTTCGTTCACCAACAAAGCTTTGGAGTATTGGCATTTTTTGAAGCCGAATCACTTCACAATGTATTTAATTCGATTTCTAGCTGGAAAGCAGAATTTGAAAGCAGCCTGTGCGTGCTGGGGCACTGAGCATCTGCTGCCGTGGGAATTTTATTTTCATAGCTCTTCAGATCTTGTTTAGTTTCGCTGAGACTATCTCTGTAACATAAAAGTAACAGTGACACCTCTCAGCACCTCCTTTACAGGAGAGAGGAGGAACATCTGTAGGGAGGTTTAGAAGCACTTAAGATTCATCAAAGGCCAATGATGCATCTTTCAAGGTAGGACTTTTTCAACACATCCATCAGAAGCCTTCATCTTCTCCCACCTCTGGCAGATGTTTCTGGAGAGCACATGTACAAAACATCCTGGGAAGTGGCTGGGTGTGCACCTTAGTCTGTAAGTCAGCCACTGCCTCCCCTGCTCAACACACAGGGGTAATGTACATCGTTAAGGGAGATGAATGTCTACGACCACTGCAGAGCTGTCTATTATGGCTCCCGGGAGCTGACACTTGCTGGAGGCTTGTTGCACAGTCCTGCAAGTTAATTGGTGTGGTGCTTCTCAGCATCTCCCTGTGCCCGCTGGGGAAGAGCCCAGCCTGTGATAGGCTCAATACCAGCTGCTTCCTTCATGTATTGTCATGTCTCCAGGAGGGTTATTTACACATAATGCCTGAAGTACCAGAAGTCAGTGGGTTTTTTTCTTCTTGTTTGTGTGTAGGGAAGTGTAGTAGTAAACCAGGAAAAGTTAGTTTTCACCTTGGCACAAGTGCAAAAAACAGAAAGTCCACTGCAGTGCATTTGGACCACAGTTTTTGGCAGGAAAAGGGCAGCTTATCTGGGATGGCAAGCAGAGATAAGCACAATGTCAGTGTGAAAATACTGAGGAATTTCTATTATTTGCAGTCTTGCAGGGCACAAATTCAGAAACTCAACATCTGTTGCTAATGCTGAAATGTCCTTTTTGATTATGAATGTTCATTTTGCTTTCGTGTGTATTTCACACTGGTACTACAGAAGACCAGTGGCTGAGTGTCAGCTCAGAGGCAGGACAACCAGCTGCAGACTGATGGGTGCCACTGCCTGTCTTCCCAAGCGTCACAGGCACAGTGGCAAAGGGGCAGAATGGGTAGTAACCAAACACTTTAAGCTTACAATATTTCACCACTGGGTCTCAGCTCAGATGGTTGTTGTTTAAAAGCCATGTTTATTTTTATAGTGGTGGCACTCAACCTTTACAGTCAAAGAGCTGCTTTGTCACCGAGCAGAGTTGAAAGTGCTCCAAAGACCATAACTATCCACGTGTGTGCCTGGAATTCGGTTTGATGTGGCCATGCTTTCCTGAAGAAACAGCAGTATTGTCGGGCTGCTGCCCATCTCAAATTGAAGACGACAACCGCCTGTACAAAGATGCTGAGAAACACTGAAGGGAACAGCTGGGCTGAACGCCACTGCCACACAGTGCCTGAATTGATTACAAATTCCAGTACACTGTGCCATCTTGATAGCACAGGAATATTTATTTCCAAGCTACAGTGGAGGCACATCTATTGCTTTGGAAGCTTTTCACACCCTTTCAGATGCATCCTGCTGAATAAAACAACTCAAAGCAAATAAGGCAGAAAGGGCAAGTTCCTTGCTGCTTCTCACTTACCGGTATCAACCAAGAAAACACCATAGTTGTTATGCAGATCAGAGCTCTCTGGGCAATTTTCTATTCCAGCTTTATAGACCTCTTCTGCTTCCTTAAGCCGTTCCTTAAAAGAGAAGGAGATTTTTTAGCCATGGCAGAAAGAGTGTCAGCATCATTTGCTGTATGTGGAGCTCAAGGTCTGAGCTCACCCCACTGTCTAGGATGCCAGAATTTTACCCCATGACATAGATGAGGTATAGCTCCCATCTGGTACCCCAGAGCAATTCAGATAGCCTTCCCCCATACGTTTGCAATTGGAGCTATCTGTGAAACAAAAATAATAGCTGGAAAAGGTGGGTCCTGTGCAATGTCAGTGAGCCCCAGCTGGGCATGTACCCAGCCAGGTAATACACAGCGACAGGGGTCGTGTTGGTTCTGCTGAGAAATATCTGTCATCTGGGAGCTGATGTATTTTCATTTATCTGTTTAATGAGCATCTCGCTGGCTAACTTTTCCCCTCTGCAGCTCTGCTATTCTATCCCTAGGCAGCAGGGAAAACATAAGGAGTGAAAGCTTGGTGCGTGTGATGCCTGGGGGACGGGGAGCTCTACAGGGAGACAAGGGAAGCTGGAGGAGGATGGGGTGCAATGGAAGAGTGGGGAAAATCTGACAGATCTAGATTAAAACCAGGCGCTGTCAATGCATGAGATGTAAGCTCACTGGGATTGATGGGATGTGCCACCACACTGATTCCCAGGTGCACTGAGCCCTTACATTTTGCACAGATTTAAAGGGCATTGATTGGTGCTGAGCATTTCTGGAAAATACGGAACTTTTCTTTGGGAACACCCTGCCTACAGAAAGTGTACCAGAGGCTGTTTGCTCTCTAGCCTGAGCTACAGGCAGCCTGGTCCTGACATGAAAATGAGGTGTCTCGTTTGGATAAATAGCAATTTAATAAACTTTCCATTTCCCTCCAGCCAGCCAGAGCATGCCCACTGCCTGCACGCTCACTAGCATGGCTTATGACAGTCGTCCTCCCCTTCTTAACCTCAGAGGCTTGCTGTTGCATGTATTTATGGAAGGAGGCTGTGAACAGCAAAGACAAGCAGAGTGCAGAGGGGTGTCAGGCAAGCCTCCAGCACCAAAGATGCTTTATTCTATTCTTTCCCTGCCGTGGAGTGGTATAACCCTACGGCAACAGACTCCAGAGCCCCCTGACGATGCTCCCAAGCAAAATCAGCCATCTGGGTCTCCACTGTGGAGGGCCAGGAGCCACCAAAGCAAACGTCCTGCCTGGCAGCTGAACCCACACTGAAATAAAGGGTTGGTCCACTCCCAGCTATGGACTCTGCTCTCCCCAAGCCCTGCAAATCCTAGAGCCTCGGGCTTTCTCTGGATTTAAATGGTGTACCTGATGGCAGCTTTGTTCTGTAGCTGATGGAATGTGTGGGCTCCTTTCTCACCTCGTATTTCAGAACTGGGGAGCTGGAATTAATCGCATTGGAAGAGTATGACTTGATGAAAGCACAGTTTGCCATGGTTAAGTGCTTTCACATTTACATGATAAAGGTCAGCCAGCAGAAAAGATAGTGTGTGATAAAACACAGAAACACATTTTTAAAAAGTGCTTAAGTTTGGACATTTTGGGTATATTTATGTGAATCTGACATCATTATCCTGAGGGGTCAGGAAAAGTGTAGCTATCATCAGCATTGACTAAAATGAAGAACAATTTCTTGAGCAAGCATCTGTGTTACCAAGACATTAACAAGCGTATTTTCAAAGATTTCTGTATTAGTTTCTTTTCCTCTGATTTTAATTTTCAGTCAAGGAATGTGGCTTTGTGTGCACATGTGTCAGTTTTCTTCATTTTATTTACTGACCCTAAACCCAACCTTTAAAACACGGAAGGGCTGTGTTAAACTGGATTAACAGTGTCCCATGGCAAAACATTCACACTCACTAATACTGAGCACTTTGAGCATTTTCATCATGGTTGCATTGCTTTTTTGGCACCTGCATGCTTCAGGCTCAGCCCAGAGTCTAGGATGATTTCTCTAACAAAGTGTTTGCATTAAGCACAGTCAGAAATCGGGATGGGTAGGACCAGTTTTTTGTGCCAGAGTTTTCTCTCTCACAGCATCTCCTCTTCTTGGAAGAAATGCTCTAAATTCATCAAGGCTTGATTCTCATTAACGGTTTATAATGCCACTCCCGATGCTCATGAAACATTCATCAACCTCACAAAATGCAGAAGATTGGCTTAAAAAAAGTATGAGATTTTTATGATATTAAATATATTATGCATGTGAGGATCTCTCAGTTAAACTCCAAGGGGTTTAAGTCTGGTTTTTCATGGCTCAATTTTCACACACACACACACACACACACACACACACGCTGGGAAGAAGGTGCTGTTCAAGTGCATCAGAGGAAATCCTGGAGAACCAGGAGAGTTGTGAAAATAGCAAACAAAATGTTTGATTTCTGATATTAGCACCACTGCAGTTATCATGGAGAGCAAGGAAAACAACAATACATTGTGATCAAATTACAACACCAAGTAGAAAAAGTAGTAAGAAAGGCAAGCCTTTGGTGACATGGGCTAGGGTGAGGCATCCTTGCCCATGGCAGCGGGGTTGGAACTAGATGACCTTAAGGTCCTTTCCAACCCTAACTATTCTGATTCTGTGGTAAAAGACACAAACAAACCAAACTGTTTTATACAATGTGGCAGTAGTTTTTTCCATGTCATCTCTGGCTTCAGAACCAACTGTCAAAGAGAGAAGAGGGCAATTACATCGAGTTACAGGCTAATTCTCTGGTTCATGGGACATTTCTTTTAGCAACACTTTTTACATCCGTAGGAAAAAAGGGCCAATAAGCCTTATTTTGGATTCATTGCCCTTAAGATAGGGGGGAACATGCTGTGTGGGACCAACCAAGGTAATCCTGGCAATAGTTCACTGAGCCACATCCACGTTTCCTCCCTTCTTATCCTTAGTGCAAAGCTGGAGAAGCAGCAGTTTGTCATGAGCACGGTCATCTCGTGTGAGTTATTTAATGCACCACTTATGACACTTCAGGCCCTTTGTATCACATCCCAGTGTTTACTGCATAAACTTCATGGCATCACAGATATCCTTCAGCTGTGAGACAGACACTGGGCCACAAGTAGACAGAAAGACACATTCGTCAGTTTTAGACAGTTTGGACGTGATTGCTTGGACAAAGTGGGAAACCCAAAACTGAAAAATGGGATCCCATCATCATCCTTTGGGCTGGAGATACCAAAACTTCTGCCCTTACCCCTCCAGAAAGCACACAGCATTAGGGTTTGATTCTGCAGCCCACAGCCATGGACAGCAGCACATGTTTGTAAGACAGCCCTTACTGCAGTCACTAGGATGAGTGTGTGAGGCAGAAGCTGCACAATCAGGTAGTCATTTGCTGTGGTTGAACGTGAGAAGCTGTTAAAAGCCTGCAGGAAATAGCTATTTTCTGAGGGAATTGTACTATCTCTTTTCCCTACCACTTACTCAAGAGGGTGAACAACCTATATGTAAGAGTAGATGAATTATTGCTGGACTTATTAATGGCATTTGCTTTGGGCAGAAGGCCTCAGGGCTCTACAATCATTTTATTGCTCTGTTGACCTTACAATCGATGGTTCTAATTAATAAATTCAATTAATATTAAAACCAGGTACTACTGTGGAGGACTCATTTCCTATACTTGCAGAAGACTATTGACAGCTTTATTCAAAAGATAGTTCCCATTCAGCGAGTCTGTTCTTTCAATTCATACACTGTATTTCTGTGCCCGTGTAGCTGACATTGACAGTATTCAAATATTTCATAGAAACCTAGAATGGTTTGGGTTGAAAGTACCTCAAAACCATCTAGTCCCAACCCCCTGCCATGGGCAGGGACACCTTCTACTATATGAGGTTGCTCCAAGCCCTGTCCAGCCTGGCCTTGAACACTGCCAGGGATGGGACAGCCACAATTTCCTGGGGCCTCAGCAGCCTCGCAGGCAAGAAAATAATTTGATAGTAATTTAAAAGGGAAAATAAAATAGCACCTTTTTTTAGTAATCCACATATATCATACATGAGTTTTGCAGAGTGCCTACATCATTAAAGAAACCTAAATCAGAACAACATCTCTGCTTCTAGTTTTGCTGACATTTATCCACTTCCCTTACAGAAAGGTTTCACTAACCAGATCAGTGGAAAACAGTGAAATAGGATACATTTCTGCTTTATCTGTATTTGCATTTGGCAATCTTTATAGAAAGCTTTAGCACACCATGCTATGGAACAGTTAGATTTGAAACCTGGTGGAGAAAAAAAACAGTTTTCAAAGGTTTGTAGAGGTGTGCTGGAGCTGTGCAGTTATGAGGGCCTTGTCACCCAACCCTGTATCCCCAAACTGGAGCCACTGGCTTTGGCCAAAGCCCATGGGAGCAATGCCCAAAGCACAGCATCCCTCATCTCCTGCTGCAGGCATGCAGAAAAGCAGGGCTTGGTGGTCTTAACATGGGCACCCACACTTTGTGGCTTCTGAACTCGGGCATTTTGTGCTTCAGTTTCCCTTTTTCTCCATGGGGGCAATATTTCACCTCACAGGGACCTTGTAGAAATAAATTACCTAACTACAGGGAGCAGGGGGAGCCCCAAGTAATGAGCATGGGGAGCAAGCCTGAGAGGAAATGAGTAATCCTGCCTCCAGAGCACAGCCTTTAACCGTGAGGTTAAATAAAATATTGAACAGCTGTTCATTAAGAGCAACATAAAACTAATCAACCTTCCCATCCCCTGTATGTGATCTTCTACCACAGTAATGAAGGGCCATATCCCGATGCATGCATGCAAGGGGCAGAATTCAGGCTGCAGAGCCCACCTGTTTTTTGTCATTTCCTAGCTTTGGAGTGATTTATTATGAAATCTCAAAGTTACTGTCATGGTTTAAGCCCAGCCAGTAACTCAGAACCATGCAGCCTCACTGACCCCCTTTTTCTCTCCCCGCTCCTGAAGGGATGGGGAGGAGAATGGAAAGAATGCAACTCCCACAGGTTGAGATAAGAACAGTCCAGTAACTAAGTTATAACACAAATCACTACTGCTACCACCAGTAATAATAATTATAAGGGAAATAACAAGGTGAGAGAACACAATTGCTCACCACCTGCTGGTCAATACCTAGCCCAACCAGAGCAGCGATCTGGCTTGCTGTGTAAGTCCCCCCAGTTTATGTACTGGGCATGACGTGCTGTGATATGGAATACTTCTTTAGCTGGTTCGGGTCAGGTGTCCTGTCTCTGCTTCCTCCCGACTTCCCGTGCCCCTCCTCACTGGCAGAGCATGAGACTGAAAAAGTACTTGGTCGGAGTGAACATTACTTAGCTACAACTAGAACATCAGTGTGTTATCAGCGTTGTTCTCCAGCTAAAGTTGAAAACACAGCACTGCACCAGCTACTAAGAAGGAGGAAAAAAAACGCGCTATGGCTGAACCCAGGACAGTTACCTATGTAGGCATGTGTGTCTGAGGGGGAAGTGCTTGCCTATTCTGCTGTCACAACAAAGTACAATGGATTAAGACTTTACCGTAGACATGGGGAGCTGCAGAGAGGGTGTTTACTCACAACTTCAACAGTGATTTAATTCAGAGCCACATCATGTGGGTGTAATTACTCACTGCAAATCAGTTGCCTCCCATCCTGAAAAAGTCATCTCTAACGCAACCTGAGAGCTCTCGGCAGACAGTGGGGGGACCCATGCCTGCATGCAAGGTGAGGGTGCTCTGCTGGGATGCGCAGGAGGTGCTGCGGCTGCACTGCATACACATGGACAATAGTCACAAGAGTTCAAGTGATCACCACTACCTGTTCGGCTAGCAGTGAGGCCAGGCTGGAGTAAGCATCCGCAAACTCTGGGCCATACTTAATGGAGTCCCGCAGTAAGATCACAGCTTCCTCCTTCTTCCCTTGGGACCTGCACAACAGGGAAGGAGGGAAAGAAAGAAATGTTCCTGTAAGCACAGGTTTCAATCATCCCACTGATTAACTGCTTTAAAGAGATGTGAAAGTCCCCAGCTTGACCTTTTCAGAAAGACTAAATGATTCACTTGTGCATCGTCTCCACAGAGTGCATCTCCTCAGCCCATCACTATTTCCATATGTTATTTTCAGGGATTGGGAGAACATAGGCTTTAATGAATCTGTTGTTTGGTCTTCTGTTCTGGTATCTGTCATACTGAGCAACACACGATGATCCTAGTGAAGACAAAACACTGCCCAAACCAACTCATTCCTCAGCCACACATGCTGAAGAACAAAAGGTATTTTTATTGCTTGTTATCAGGGCAAGCAGTACAGGCCACATGCACTGTGTGTTGAGTCATAACCACTAGATTTTGTAAATTTCTCCAGTGCTACCATACATATCCTCTCAATATTTCTCTTTATGGCAAATATATCACATTCTTACGCATTCAACCCATCAGGAGTTAAAGGTACATAAAGGATACGATAGCAAAAGTGTCCCCAGGCATGAAGTACTATGCAAGACCCTCCCATCAATGTCCTTGGGAAGTCACATGCCCTACAGGAAGGGATGCTGTCAGGGTAACACCAAATTTGCAGTCAGCTTCTGAAGGTCTGGCCGCAGTCATGTCACTGATGTCCTGGGAACAGGCCATTTGCTCTCATCAACCCTGCTCACATCAGTAGGTTGGCGACACCAAAACATTTGCATTTTCCTAAAATCCCCCCCTGCATGTTCCGAGACAATGAGTGCTGTTATAGAGCCACTTATGACTTAGTTAAATTGTACTTCGCAATTAAAATATTGCTAAGTTAAATCTGCCTGGGACCTCTAAATAATTCCTTAGTAAGTCAGTCATTAGGCTAGAGGAGTCTGCTCTTCAGATCCTAACATTATGAACAGAGATAGTTGAGAGCTGGCTATGCTGATGAGCTAGGGTTCTCTCCAGACTTGATCCGCATTTATTACCATGGAAAACCAAAAGGGTTTTCTGCACAAAAATCTAAGGATTAATCTAAGGATATTTATTTGAGCTACATTTCTCCAGTATCTCTGTGTATTTCTTTCCTTGGAAAAATGAGGTTTCATGAACAAACATCTAAGGATGTTTAGCTGGACTGGAACATTTTCCTAGTGTCAGTTGTACAAAGAATATGAATAGCAGAAATTTTGTTTGTTTTTTTTTTATTTACAAAAGAAACAAAAGGCTTCGGGACACAAAATAGGTGAACACCTTGCCGCTTTGGCCTTAGATTTCATCTGAATGACATGGTCGAGTAACCAGATCTCATTTATAAGGTGCGAATTTCAGCTGATAATATATGTGGCTTTGCAGATTTTTCCCCTTTCTAGTTATGTAGCTGGAAGAATATTTTGCCTGTGCATTAAGCTAAGTAAAGCCAGTTGTGCTGGTCTTTTTCTTCTTCCAGTGGTGTTCCATATGAATTACACGAATGAAGCAAAACCAAATAAATAACCACTTTTCTCCTACACTAATTAGAGACCAGCTAGCTTGTCCATTTATAAAACTTTTGGCTACAGTTTCGTGACACATTTTTATAAATCAAAACCAGATGACTGCTTTATAAAGGTATTGATGTTTGGCAAAAAACCCCTAGGAAATGCCAGCTACAGAAATAAAAGGATTAAGTGATCCACTCAGCAGCAGTAAAAGTCTCCATTACCATAAGCATGCACTCTGAACGTGGGGCAGCCCTCTTAATTACTCTTTTTTTTTTCTTTCCCAAGTGGCCTTTCTTTCTTTTTTCTTTTGATCCAAGAACAATGTTTGTCTCCTGAAAGTGGGGGTAGAGAGGGAAAGATTAAGGCATCTTTTTATGTGACAGACTGAATTACATCAAAAGAAGCAGATCCAGTAGTTTCTCAGAGGGCTTAGGCCTGCAAGATACCAGGCGATCTGGCCAAGCACTTAAACGCATACTTAACTTTTATGTATGCAAGTTGAAAATTAATTACTGGCTGAAGTGCTTTTCTGGATCAAGGCCAATACTTTGCAGGATCAAGGCTGTGGCTTTTATAGATCTCCGGCAGTTTGGGAGAGCACAGAGAATTGGAGGAACAGTCATATACACTAATTTACCATAAACTGGGGATCTGGGGCAGGAAAAGCTAGGTAATCTACACTTTCGCTATGACAGAGAACAAATTCAACTGATATGAGGAGTCTATGATCACTCAATCTGATTTTTCTCCAAAGACCCGCCCTTACAATGCCCTCTCCTGACTTTCTCTTCCACTCAAGCTCTCAATCTGCCCCCTACAATCAGTGTGCTTGAGCTCAGAGCAAGACAAAGCTCTTTCCACTGGTAGCATCTCTCCCATATTTTTGCAAGTTCCCCAGAGTTGGACAAGCCCCAGTTTAAACCACTCCACAGAAGTCTGATGATGCACAGGGCTGTGTGTGGGCAAATTTCAGTTGCAACATAAAGAGTAACCTAGGAATTAGTGCCTTAGGGAATGTTTTAACTGTCAAGATTCGTTTTATTTTGTAAAGTTAGTTCTGTAAAGCCAGAATCACAGAACTCAGTAAGTGCTCCACTTGGTTCACAGGGAGAGCTTGCAGTGTCTAACTCTGCCTGCCTGAGAGGAAGCCTCTAAGCCTGTTTGCCTCCCTGGTTTAAAACCAATTCAGGTAATTTAGATGCACTCCTTTGCCATTCATCTATACTATGCAGATGACACCAAAGTGGGGGAGTGGACAATACACTGCAATGCAGAGCTGCTTTTCAGAGGGACCATGTCTGGTGGGAATCTCATGAAGTTCAACAAAAGCAAATGCAAGTCCTGCACCTGGAGTGGAATAACTCCATGTGCAAGCACAGGTTGGGGGATGACTGGGGTCCTGGTGGAGAACAACTCAACCATGGGCCAGCAATGTACCCTACATGGCAAAGGAAGCCAACAGTGGGGCCAGAGAAGTGATCTTTCCCCATAAAGGATACTTGTGAGACCCCACCTGGAGCAATGTCTGTCAAGAGTTGGGCTCCCCAGTGCAAGAGGGCCAAAAGAGGGCCACTAAAATTCAGGGCTAGAGCACCTGTTGCTTTGAGGAAAGGCTGAGAGAGCCGTATCTGAGAAGGCTCGGGGTGACTTCATTGCTGGCTGCTACTGTCTGGCAGGAAGATACAGAATGACCAGAGCCAAACTCATCTCAGAGGTGCACAGTGACAGGACAAGAAGCAACAGAAGCAAGGAAATTCTGATTAGATATAAGGAAAAATATTTTTCAGCACAAGGGTGGTCAAACACTGTAACAGGTTTCACAGGGAGATTGTGGCATCTCTGTAACACCTTGGAGGTGCTCAAGATTCAGCTGGATGCAGCCCTAAGCAACCTGATCTGATTAGACTTGCTCTAAGCAGCAGGACCTCTGATTTTCAGAGGTCCATTCCAACCTAAGTTATTTCTTTAATCTACTATAAATTTGACAATGCCAGAGTTTGGTTTTTGTTGGTTTGGATTTTTTGGTTTGGTTGGTGTTTTTGGGTTGTTTTTTTTTTTGTTTGTTTGTTTGTTTTTTTTTTTTTTTTTAGGAAATAGGCTACAACATGTATGTGGTACTGATGGATAACTATAGCACTTCATGCGATGCAGAGTATCCTAACCAGAAACCATCCAGAAAGCCAGATGCACTACCACTGAACATTAACACTCAGTTTGCTTCTTTAAATGGAAGAGATAATGTTTCACTCTCTAAAAGATCCTAAATCTCAATACACGTAATATCTACCTGCATCTTCAGACAGTTACACAAACCTGTGTCATCACACTCACACACATACATATCCAGAAGCCTGTATCAGAGAGAGCAAACAGTCCTCCTTCCCCTGAATGGATGGCTTCACTAAACATTGACTAAATCACGGCAGCAGGACACATTGTGTTATTCTACATTCAGAAGAGAAGCAGTCCTTTGAATAAACTCAGTGTTTCAGTGGCATTGTTTCTAGGCATTTCACTTTCCCTCTGGAAATGAAACCATAACACACTCAAAGCCCATAAGAGTTATGAGCCTTTTCTTTATAAGAAACAGTGTACTGAATATTGGAGTGTTTGAGGTATGGTTATACAGAGTACTGCAAATAAGAAGTTCTCTCCTATTCTTCCTCCAACAGAAAGCCAAGATAAATATGTACTTCAAGTGTTTGTAATATTTTATTTCTCATCTCTTTACAGAATATCCCACAGACTATAAATTTGTGAGGTATTCTGAATGATATTCATCTCAGTTTTTCATGCTGTATCTCCAAAAAAATGAATGTATATAGAGAAGTTACATATTTATTTAAAGGGAAGCTTCAAAACAAAACACAAGAAAGCAGCATCAGGCTGCTCTGTGTCACTGATGACGGGGCATGAAAGCAGAGAAAGAGATTTCTCACTTTTAGGTAGGACATCTTTGGGTCTATTTTAACTAAGAAATCTGTTGGCATTGTTTAATTATCTACTCACCAATATTTATTGTAAGCAAGAATATGATGACATACTATTTTATTTTAGGATATGTAAACAAAACCAGAGGCTTATTCAGCCATTACTCTGCAATGCTTCCTGAGAACATTCATCTTCTGGCACATAGTTGTCCTCACTACGTGCAAGCAGAAAATAGAAACATCCTTTTTTCCTCTAGGACTTCTGTAAAAAAAAAAAAACCCTTAAAAATTCGACCCTGTGGTCCTCAAACCAGACTTTTAGTAAATCAGAAGCAACTGATGCTTAGATAGTTTATTTACAAGGAATAACGAGAAGCAGATTCCTATATGGGAATAGCAAACCCATCTTTCCAAAATCCTGGAGATACCCTTTCTCAGCACTCCAGGAGGTGAAATCTAATATCCACCACTATATTTCCACACTATGAGCAGGGATGGGTGTAAGGAACTCAGCAGAATTCAACTGGAAATTCCCTATGCCAGACAGTTTCGTTACTAGTCCTAGTAAATACGTGGGTGGAACCTGAGTGTTTTCTTTTAATGAGTTTAGCACAAGCATCACACACCTTTAACATAGTACGAGATACGGCACCACGGAACAACGCTGAGCATGTAATATCCAAAGGGGGATACAATATCTTAACTATCACATTAGGAAAACATGACACATTGCATACAAAACAAACAGCAGTTCTAAGAGACTTTCCCACGCTTCCTTTATCCTTTGCTAGTGCAACAAATCCAGTTTCTACCCATCTGCTGGGTCATAAAAGAGCCCATCAACAGGCCAGATTTAAACATTATTGACATGAGATGTCATGGTGCTGCTTCTGGCTTATATCCTCTTGTATCAATATTTCATATTAAAAAAATATCACAGAGAATAATAAGGCAAACATGATGAATTAAAAGGACAATATGTATTTTTAAAAACTATTGCCACTGAAGATTAATTTCAATCAACCGAATGTGATGAATAATACAAAGACCTTCCATTTCTCTTGCAGTAAGACTGTCTTTACCATTTTTCTTTCTTGTGAATATTTCCAGTAAAACCCTCACCTATTTTCTAATTGCAACACAACTGCAAACATCACCTTAAGTGATGTAGTACACAGCATAAAGATATCCAAACTACCATAAAGATACCCAAACAAGCATAAGGACATCCAAACTAAGCCTTACCTTTGTGCTGGCACTGTTGGCTGACACTAAGAAACAATGCAACTCCTCTACCAATTGGCAGAAAAAACTAGTTTGGTGGTGAGTGTTGGGAAAATGTGAATTTCTTTGGTGCCTGTTCTGTGTTCAACTTACTTGAGCAGGTTGCCGAGATTAAAGAGAGCTCGATTGTGCTGAGGGTTTAACTGAAGGGCCCGTCTATAGTACTCTTTTGCCTCCACCACATCTTTGGTCAACGTCCCCAAGTTGTTGAGAGCACTTGCGTGACGAGGGTACAGTCTAGGAAAAATGAAACAACAAGTTACAGATACTCATTAATTGACAAGTAAAGCCAAAGTCACTGATACTGCCACCGCTTTCCACCACTTGGTAAAGGGAAGGATGTCAGCTAGGAAACACTGTCTTCCCTTCATTTGCAGCAGGTCCTCATGGGACCCTGAGGAGCCTTTTCAACTCTCAAAGAGACAGCGAATCAGATCCTCTTCTACAGTTCCTGTATGCCTCCAGGGCAAAAGGGAACACTGAACACTTCTGAAAGTCTCTTTTCCCCTCAAAGCAAAAGACAAAATGACTAAAGCAGCTTTAATGTTTTTATGCAAAATGTTTTTCAAGCAAGCAAGAACTGCCTTATCAAAAATATGTTTCCAATGGAAATATGTTTTGAAATACACAGAAACCAACAAAACAGTTTTAATTGATCTGTTTTGTTGTTTGTTGGGTTTTTTTCTAAATCAGTTTTCCACAGTAAAAGTAACAAAGTGCAAAAGGAAACCTGAAATCAGCCGTTGAACAATGTTTTCGGGACCAAACAAAATGATACAAAAATATGCAAACAGACTGCTTAACAGTATGAATTCCCTCAGCTTCTAGTTATATTTTTTTACTACGTGGCTCAGTTCTTTTAACTGATCTGTTGATCTTTACGTCAGTGTGTTTCAGTTACAACACTACATATTGACCCAAGTGTTAAAATTCTCCATGAACTAAGCAGCATGTTACGGTCCATTCAGCTGCTTAGATTCTCAAAGTTGTGCTCGTACATTAATATTTTGGTTTGGAGATCTTCCACCAGAAAACTCTAGAGGGGAAAATAATCCAGGGTAACATTTAGCACCCAGGACCCCTTGTGCCATAGATGGGGGAAAACTGAGCTTCATTATAATAAATGAATAAATCTATGTCAGTAGCCCACAAATCCCAGGCAAGCTGGAAGACCAATGCGCTGAGGAAGTCCAATGCTCTGGTATGAAATGGTGCACAGGTGCTTGCCCACTGAACTCAAGATGACCATTCATGATAGGGAGGAAGCAGATTAAGATGGGCAATGCTTGGGTTTGAGAAGACCTAGTCACAAATCCCGCTGCCACTATAGATACTCTGTTTTAAATGAGGACACCTGACATTTCTTCGCCTTAGGTCCCTGTTCATGGGAAAGTGATGTGGATAATGACATTAAAAATAGCTGGCTATGATAGCTCAGGGTACAGCATGAGGAGGGGCATTTAAAGGAAGAAGGGATTAAGACTCCATAATATAGGCTGAATATGAAGTTTGCAACTGTTTTTAATCTAAAACTTTCCATGGTGTGTTCTTTTGCCTGGAGTTTTTCATTATGTCAGTTCAGCCCTGGGATTTTCTGTGCTTAAGTACCATGAATAATTTAGTATTTTACACACTGCTGCAACATTTGTATCAGTCACATTTTTGCTTCACAGAATATAAGTGATTTTGGCACAGTCTTACTTGGGGGTGAAGCTGGGAACACATGAAGGAACTCCAGGGAAAATGGACATGCACCAGTAACGGACCCAGGATGTTTCCTACACCTAAGTAAGAGAAGAGCCCAAAGTCCCTTTTTTTTTACCCAACAATAAGCCTAGCAGACAGAGATTACTTATTGAACCTATTATAATGACAGAAGATAAATGTAGCGACCACCACTTACAGTAACTAACGACTGCAGACTCTATGAACCTCCGTCCTGTACAGATAAGCATACTGTCTCTCAGAGGTAACCACTTCTGCTGCAGGCCCTCAGGTGCATTGCCCAGTGTCTCCACTCACCCATACCACCTGCATTTGTTGCTCAAGAAATTTTTGAAGGGTTCCCCAATTGGTTTTCTCACAGAGGAGCAGAGACTAGGAAATTAATGGCGAGACTGCATTTGGCACAGGAGTAGTATTGCTTTCCATCACTGACGTTACCCAGTGGGCCTGACACATTTTGGGATGTGAGAGGCTACCCACGCACGGAGAAGAATCAGCAAAGGACAAGGTGGTAATGAGTATACAGTGTTGGATCTTGACCTTGGCCCTAAAACCCACTGATCATCAAGGCTAAGCCTCCGCAGCTGAAGCAAGCTGGGAGAAATGCTTTCCACAACAGCAGCAGGAGAGGAATGGGAAGGACCAAGCTTACTTGCTCTTCAGCACTTGAAAAGCAGCTCTGTGTGATACCTGACCAGGATCCTGAGTGAAGAACGTCTTATCTATCTTAGGGCAAATCACCAAGGGCTCAGCCTTGTTTCCCATTTTTCTATGTGATTCTGACATTGTTTTGGACCAAAAGAAGGTCTGGGAGGTATATTTCTGAGGCTGGTATTTTTCCAGTTGGCTATGATAAAAGCTGCGCACTACTTTTGTCAGTATTCACACGTAAAAACAGCTTTAATATCTGACATGAAAGTGCTTCAGTTATGAGTGGGCAAAAGTATTTCAGACAAGTCTTGGAAAAAAAACAGATTAACATTTTACAGCCCTAAACCTGATGATTTTGCTCTCAAACTCAGAAATTAATTCTGTTCTTGGCCTCTGTTGTTCCCATGACATTTTAGGCCCAGAAGATTTCCTTGCACCAATGTGGAGAGGAATGAAAACTCAAGATTAAAAAAGAGAACTGATTTCACCTTTAAATTGCACAGTTCTGACCAGCAGCTACATAAATACACTTCTGCACTCAGCACTAAAACCTCTCGACAGCAAATCACAGGATCCAAGCACAACTCCCATGCATCCTGGGCTCTGCTTCTTGTGTTTTACATTTATTCATTACATCTCATTGCCTTTTCCAAGAAATGTAAATGAAAAACCAGAACCCCAGCTAGCAAAAATTGTCAGCTTAAACCCGCTTAGCATGTGGCCTGAAGAACTTCTGACATTTGCAATTTTACATACCTGAACAAATATTGAGAGAATAATCTGAGCACAGTGAGATAAGGCAATGGCATTGAGCTTTGCCATTAGGGTTCAGTTCTTTACAGCTTTATTTGGAATATGACTTTATTAAGGCGGTAGAATGAGATGCCATTCAACTTGAGTTCAGCAGAGCTATAACCAAGCCTTAAGAGAGCATCACATCTAGTAAAGTAACCAGAGCCAGGGGCTGAGCCCATGACCATCCATGCTGTTGTACTGTTAAACGTGGTTCCCAACACTTTTACACCACCCTCAAATAATTGCCAGGAATGCTCCAGGGCTAAGCCCAGACCAGGGTTTGGTCCCAGCAGCTAAGTTGGGTTTGGCCACTGTTTCTCAAAGGATACACATACTGGCAGGGGGGTTGGAACTTGATGATCTTAAGGTCCTTTCCAACCCTAACTATTCTATGATTCTATGAATACTTGTGGGTCAGTTTATGCCAGCTGACCTAAGGGCTAGAGAATGGGGACCAGACTCTTTATTAGCATGATATTGACTAAAGCACTAATGGCCTTAATTCAACCTACCCTCTGTTCATGCACACCTACTGCTGTTACTAATGACTTCCTGGGGATAAAACCAGAGTAGAACAAAGTCTTGTAGCTGGATTTACAGAACTGTGTAAAACTTGACCATAAATGACTAATTAAACCAACATTTACTTAAGAACTCTCAAAATGTTTCTGCAAAACTTGCAGATACACCATTTGCAAAGTGGTTTGCTGTACGTAATCTATTTTCTTAATGAATGGAGGCACATGAACACTGTTTTCCATTTTGATGTTATCAGGAGGCTTGTGCTGTTTCTCAATACTTTTGGAACAGGCTCCAGCGATTGCCAATGTCTACTCTGCTTATTTTGACCATGAGCCCCCTGATGCAAAGATTGTGTCTTCCCACATGTATCCATTTTTTGGAAGGGTCAGAAACCCATTACAGGGCAAGAAGGTGTCCAGTTAACCTGAGGTCTCTTCATGCCACTATAATGACAATACTCAGAAGCCAGACCTTATTTTACAGTCAGGATACTGAGATGCAAGGAACCAGTTGGAACATGTATGCCTTGTTTTGCAACCTCTCTCAAGAAACAAAGCTTTCTATCCGGACACACACAGAGCTGTATTTTCCTTGCCACCACCACTGATAATGGTAACAGTCTGCAGGCAATATCCTTCTTGCTATGCATCTGATTAGGTAGAAATTCCTCTAGGCTTCACCTAATCAAATGCAAGTGCTGCATTATTTATGAAAGAAAGCTGAATTTCATTAAACTTATTCTATAAGAAGCAGTTCATGTAAAAAAAAATAAAAATCAGTTTCTCCTTTCTTTTAAAAATCAGAATATTTTTCTTTAAAAACCTACATTCACAGGCAACTATAATAGAAGTTTTGAAATGGAAAAATTGCTGTAGAAAAAAAAGAAACCAACCCATAAAAGTATATTTTTAATCAGACTGGGATTTCATTTCTAAAGGGAAGACAAGTGGGATGTTTCCTTGTCGCAGAATGAATAATTCAAATGATTCCTCCAGTGCTGTATCTGCAATTGTCAGAATAGATTTAAGCAGCTTTCCCTTTAACTATTATAGGTATACACTGCACAAGAAGTCCTGCTAGTAATTATCCCCACTTCTTTTAGGCTAGCAAAATTCCCTCTAATACCACCAAACAAAAGCCTTATTGACTTGCATAGCCAACAGATTCAGTTTCACAAGAAGATACCAGTAATAAAACATAACACAATCATCAAAATGCTGATGACCATTTATTTTGCCTTTTAATTTAATGGTGCTATTACCTGTAACATCTTTCCTTTGATTTAAGGGGTTTTGTTTGGCACCATATCTGAACTACAAGACAGTTCCAGTAAAAAGAGAAAGGGAGGGAATCTGTTGTCATGACTACAACCTATAATCCACCAAGAATTTTAATTCTTTTAATTCAGATTGAGAGAGACCACTTCAGCAACTGGCAAGCTCTCCTCCCAGTCCTGCCTTTAAACAGTCCTTAGTCTGGTGCCAGAGGTATTCAGGGGGCAAAAGCCGTTAGCGTGACAACTCCCCACTTGCTCTTAAGAGCAT